GTACACCTGAAACATCCAGGCAGGTGTGTTGAGGCAAGTTGGAGCTAAACCCTGCAGGGACACCGGCCCTCCAGGACCGAGATTGGTGACCCCTGCAGTAGAGTTTTGTACTATAAGCAGCTCAAATACAAATGATTCACTGATTCATTTGAGTTATTACTTCCAAAGTGTTCCAGCAAAGCTAATTTTGTATTCATAAATGTTTGGCTAGCTTAATTTCCTAGGGTTTATTTGGAAAGTTCAATTCAATGAACACAAATGATTCACTAATTCAAACAAATAAACAAACAAACAAACAGACAAATGATTCACTGAGTCATTTGAGTCATTCCTCTCAAAATGTTATTGGAAGGTATTTTTTTGTAGTCACATGTTTCGTTAGCTTAATTTTTTTAGGGTTCATTTGGAATGTTGTGTTCAATAAACACAAATGATTCATTATTTGCACAAATGATTCACTGATTCATTTGAGTCAATACTTTCAAAATGTTACTGTGAGTCCTTTGGTTTTGTAGTGATAAAAGTGTGAAATGAATGGTTTACTTATTTTTTAGTTCTCAGCCAGGCTTGCTAAGTTGATTTGATCAGTTCACTTCTGAAAATCTGCAAACCGATCTGAACAAATCATTAAAAGGAGTCATCTCAAAAATGACTCATTAATGAATCATTAGTTTTTTCTCCAGAGTGTCTCTCTCTCATTAGCTCTACAATGGAACTTTAAATCAATGCTAACTGCTTGTCTAAAAGCAAACGGGCCTCTATAACCGTGTTTACTGTCCTGGACACATGGTCCGCGTGTAACAAAGCATCATTGTGTGTAAAGCGACTGGAGGTCTGGCACACTGGCAGCTCTGACCGCGGTAAACACAGGTTAGTAAACTGTGTGTGTCTCTCCTGCGCCCTGCCACCTCGCAGGCCCAGACTACATCTGTTTTTCCAGATACACACACACACACACTTCATTTGTCATGCTGTGATTGTGTGTAGACAAAAGGGGCTGTCGGCGGGCAGATCACAATTACACAATTACAGAGAAACCCCCACCACACACATTTACACAACAAAAAAGCACACACACTCACACCAGCAGCTTTCTTTTAGATCAGTAAAGTTGATCAATATCAGCTCAGTGTCCTCTCTCTGATTTTAAAGCTGCAGTTCGTTCAAGAATTAAAATGATTCAAAAATTAAATGATTCATGATGATTTGTGATTCACTCATGTACAACGAAAACCACACACACACTGCACAAAGCAAACACACACACACACACACACACATGCAGCTTTCTTTTAGGTTGGTAAAGTTTATAAATATCCGCTCACAGTGTCCTCTCTCTGATTTTAAAGATGCAGTTCATTCAAAAGTGATTCAAAAGTTTAATGATTCGTGATTCACCCATGTACATTTTTCTCTCATTTCTGTGGCGTAAAAAAGAGAGATAATTATGAACCGGATCATTTCATTGAATCGTCTGAATGAATAGTTCACAAACCTGACTGATCCAATCTGAAAAGAATTGAATGAATACACAAATGATTCACTGATTCATTTGAATCAATACTTTCAAAATGTTACTCAAAAGCTCTGTGGTTTTAGTAGTGAAGTAAATGTTTAGTTTATTTTCTCAGATAGGCTTGCTATGTTCATTTGATCACTCTAAATGAGTATGCAAATGATTCAGTGGTTTGTTTGATTCAACTCGATGATTCAGTCTCAGCAATTAAAGGGCCAGTTCACCCATAAATGGAAATTCTGTCACCATTTACAGCACCCAACCTCATGTAGGCTACAAATATGCGTGTGTGCAGGTTTTTTATGGTTTATGAGGACACATTTGTATAATGACATGAATATGAGCTAGGTATTACAATGTTGAGGTGGTTTATGAGGACATGCCTTGTGTCCTTGTAATTTAAAACTGCTTAACATCATAATTAATGTGCTTTTTCACATTCAAAATTTGCCAGTTTTCCTGTGAGGCCTGCATTTAGTGGTAAGGCCATATAATAAGCAGTTTCTACTGTTTCACGCCTATGGAGAATCCTATAAGTATAGCAATACCAGTCAATTGTGACCTTGTGGGGACTTTTCTTGGTCTCCATAAGGAAAATGGTTTATAAATCAGACAGAGTTAAGTATTTTGAAAATGTAAAAATGCAAATTGTTTAGGGGAAGAGGATACAATATAGCACGAAAAGAAACATTACGTCTATGCCAAGTCCCCATAAAGATAGATCTCTTTGTGTGTGTGTCTCTGAGTGTGTGTGTGATTAATGGGTCTGGTGATGTTTAGCTAGCAGCAGGCAGATGGTAGTGGAGATAATCTTATGCTTCAGATCCATTAAACATCCACAAACCCGAACTCTACACTTCTCTACTAAGCAGATTGTGGAGTGTGTGTGTGTGTGTGTGTGTTTAGTTCAGCAGAGATCAGAATAACATTCGTTTCCGATGATGGACATGCAGTGTGGTGTAATTCACCTCCGTGGTGGTGCGACAGACTCCCTCCGTTGGCTAGAATCTCCTCCCGGGCTGCGTGCTATACAATAGAAATAGCATGATCAAAAATCTGTTTATTTTAAAGGGGAGCTATTACACAAAAACTAATTTTATAAGGGGTTTAAACACAGTTGTGTGGCAGCTGTCTGTGAATATAACCAGCTTCTATTGGTCAGAATTAATTAATTGTATTTGTTCTAATCAGACTTGATGAAATCAGTCTGCGGAAACATTCTGATTGACATTCTCCCTTTGTATGATGTCATCAGAGGGGAAAAGCCCCGCCCACTAGTGACCGTTTCTCCCTCATAAGCATAGAATTAGTCTCTTTTTTATCTGCCACTATCCTGACACACAGGCATCCATAGCTCCGCCCTCTTCTGAAAAGAGCTTATCTCATTTTAATTTAAAGCGACAGTCACCAAAACACCACAATTAAGATCAAACGCTGCTTTATTCACTAATCTTTTGTGTGATATTCCAGTTTTGCACATGAATTCATATCTCTGAAAGGAAACACAGCGAGTGATGGTTGAACCAATCTTTACATGCTCTACGTACCTCCACTTGTTCGTAGACGTGAACTGGATCACTCAGACCCCGGTAATTAAAGGCAAAGTAGAAATACACACAAGCACCAGCGTCATACGTCTGTGTGACTCTAGAAAGAGAAAGGGGGAAAACAAAGTCACTTTTTCAAACCTTCTAAGGTTAAAAGTTGTTGGAAGAAAGATTAAGGACACATAATGCAATCCAAAAGCAGAATTAAATGGGGGAAAATTAAAAATAAAAACATGAACAAAACACTGCTAACTTACAGATGTTTTTTACACCGTATATTAAGCTGCTTTGACACAATCTGCATTGTATAAAAAGTGCTACAGATATAAAGATGAATTGAATGGGCTCTATGCACAGCTAGGGCTCTATTTTGACGGTCCATGCGCAGAGTGCAAAACGCAGGGCGCAAACACTTTCAGGGCATGTCAGAACGCATTTTTGCTAATTTAAGGACGGGAAAATCCGCTTTGCGCCGTGGCGCATGGTCTAAAAGGGTTGAGTTTATTTTCTTAATGAGTTATAGGTGTGTATTGAGAATAAACCAATCAGAGTCTCATCTCCCATTCCCTTTAAGAGCCAGCTGCGTCACGCCAAGAGCGCATTCGCCATTTACAGGAAGCAAAGTAAGTATAAGTGGAAAAAATGAGCATTTCACAAGCAAACAGTTCACAGTTTATTAACAGAAAACAGATAAACAGAGCATCTACTGCGTGAGAATGAGAGATAATGGATCTACTTTCGCTCTTGGATAGGGAAACCTTTACGCACAGACATCAATTAGCCTATAAATAATTCATTTTGTTTGTTAAGCACAAAGATTTGTTTCAAAACTGTTTCTAAATTCAGTTCTAATTTCCAGCAAACGAATAAATGAACAATAATAATGAAGTGTGCTCAAAAACCTGAGTTATATCCTAAAACACATGCTGCGCCCCATATGCTCTAAAACCTGACAGGTGGACAAATCTAAGCTTGTTTTTAATAAAACAAATATAAATATGGATATAATAAATAATACTGCTAATAATAATAACATTATACAAAAGCTAATTGTTATGAATGAACTGAAAAAGCCTCCCGAGATGAAAAAGACATAAAAGCAGTGATTTTTCATATTTATGTAGGCTAGAAAATAATATGTTTTGTAATATTTTAATCCTTTATATTTATATTCTATATCTATTCTTATTATATCCTACATATATCCTTAATGTTAACATTTTTTCATGTGTAAAGATGTTTGTCTATTGCTCTCTTGTGTGTATTAAGCAGTGTGTAAGTGAGGCGCAACTCTGCGCTGGAGTTTAGACCGGGTTAGTTTTGGTCTAATGAAAAATCTATTATAGTTTCTGATAATATCAACGTGCCAGCAGTGCGCCTCAGAACACCTTCCTTTTTAGAGCAGAACGCCTATGGGCGCACAAATGAGCGCTAATGCATTTGCTATTCAAACAGCGTAGCGCAAAGCCTCAAAACGACTCTTGCGCCAAGCTGAAACTACCAAAAGACTACTGCGCCGCGTCTTGCGCCACACTGCGCCGGGTGTATGATAGAGCCCTTAGTGTTACTCAGCCATTGGTGAACTTTTGCTGAAAGCATTATGTGACTATTTCAGTTTCATAAGGTTCCCTTTACAGCATCGATGTTTAATGTCATTCAAATACAATCAGTTAAATAGACTCAAGCATTGATTGGGTTGTTGAAGCGTAAAAAGAGACGGAAGACGTCATAAGCAACAGGCTAGCGCAGAAACTCCATTAAATACAGATACAAGAAATCAGAAATGAGTTATTAAGGGTGCTTTCACACTAGCACTTCTGGTTCGTTTGAAATCATAGTATGGTACATTTAGCGTTTAATGTGTCTTCTGATCTCAGGTGCGCAACCGTGAACCATACCTGAGTCCGCCTGAAGGAGGTGGTCTGGGGTACGGTTCATGCGAACTTTGGTACGATTTACGTCTGATGTGAATGCAATCATACCAAATAACAGAAGTAAACTGCCAACTGTACAACAAATCGTTTTCATAACGTCGTTCGTGTGGGTGTGTCACGTTTCATACCTTGGTGACAAGCGGGACTGAGCCAGTGCAAACACAGTAATAGTGTCTGCTTGTGTGATGTTCTGAATGTTTATGATATTTTCGTGGCAGACGGACGCGAGTCGTTTTCTGCATGTCCAGAACCAAAAGATTCAGTAAAAGCAGAATGACCGATCTAACTTGGGTACGGTCCAGGCAATTGTGTGAAAGCACCCTAAAACTAATATGCTTAGAGACGGCTTAAAAACAACCTTCTCTCCATTAAACCGAAATTGGAGGAGAATACAGAGGGGGGCCAATAATTCTGACTGTGGACATGGTCTTAATGTCATACTGATACATCAGATAAGTGGCTGCGTTGTGTGGTTTTATGAAGCCAGAAGGGCAGTAACAGAGACATGGGCACACTTTCCGTCCTGCTCTTTCCTTGACTTTGAGCTGGAGAAAGTTTAAGTGTGTGTTATCTGCCCCTGCAGAGGTTAAACCTTCCCATCAATCATGTCCTGCACAGCTGGAAGACAGGAAATGAATGGCTGAGAAGTCTGTGTGTGTGTGTGTGTGTACCTGCATGTGGACAGCGGTGGGAACTGCACTCCTCTCTCTTTACACTCTCTTATTATCCTCTCCTTTACATTTCGACACAAATCCAACACCCTGAACGAGAGAGAATAAATAAAAAAGATGAATACTAAATAAAGTGCAGACAATACTGGACAAATAATGACATAAACTCACTTCTGACTATTACTGTAAAATAATGTAATGATCAGTGTGTAATGAAGTACAATGCTTAAATGACACTTTATTTTGAATCATTATGTTGGCTTGAGAAAGAAAACATACTGTTATACTACTCTGTCCTTGAAAACAAACGTATCTCCTCCTAGGCCGTTAATGCCACAAGGCCCAAATGTGGTCAAAATGTGCTTTCTACATTCAAGATTGTTGCTATATCTCCTCATGCCTGTAAGACTTATCATTTTTTTAATAAAAAAATGTTACATATTAAATTTTTTTAATCCGAGCATATAAAAAAATTATACAAGCCCCAAATTTGGCCAAAAGCTGTATTTAGATGCGTTAGATTTTGTTGCTATATCTTTAAGGTTTATCAGACTTATAGTTTTTTAATAAATAATTTTTAAGCATCATTTTTCTCAAAATATGGCAAGCCATTTTTGACTTAAACTCCATATGTTTTACTGATATTGCAAGCCATTTTTGCATGTATTAACTTCACACTTAAGCATTGTATTTTCAAAAAAAAAAAAAAAAAGTCATTTTTACATAATGTTCATTCCCTTAGTCCCTTTATTAATCAGGGGTCGCCACAACGGAATGAACCGCCAACTTATCCAGCATTTGTTTTACACAGCGAATGCCCTTCCAGCCGCAACCCAACACCAGGAATACATAATATTCAAGTCCAGTTTTTGACACTCATAAAGACTGTCATAGAAACATCGGGGTTGATTAAGATCACTCATATTGCCAAGAAGCTTTGATGTATCATCACTAACCTGTCAAATGTCCCCATAGCAATAAAACAGTATAACCTAGCAACCATTTAAAAACAGCAATATCTCTACATCAGAACATCATAGGGACCTGGGCATTGGCTTGTTTGACTCATGCTAGCAAATGGGACTTCCTGTGTACTATGCATGGTAACAATGATAATGGAAGCCAAGTGCTAATAACGATTAGCTACATGCTATGAATGATTATCTAAATGCAATAACATATGCTAGAAATGCCTACTAAGTATTAGCATTTGATCAAACATGTACACGAGCATTGCCATTAAGCAACTGCTTAGCAACCACCTAACAATGCCATAAACGTTTGACTTTCTCAAGCCAACATCAAAGTTTATCAATGAACTTTAGGTTCTAGTTTTACCTTAAAAGAGCAAAAGCATGTAACAATAGCTGTGTACTAAAGAACTTTAATAAAGTATTCCCTGCTTAAAAACCCAGCTTAAACCAGCCTAAACTGGTTGGCTGGTTTTAGCTGGTTGATCAGGCTGGTTTTAGAGGGGTTTTGGCCATTTCCAGGCTGGTGTCCAGCCATTTCCAGCCTGGTCTTAGCTGGTCAGGCTGGAAAATGACCAGCTAAAACCAACTAAAACCAGCTGGACCAGCCTGGTTTAAGATGGACACAGCTGGTTTTAGCTGGGCTCCCAGCCTGGTTAGGCTGGTTAAGCTAGCTTTAGCTAGTCATCTCCCAACCTGACCAGCTAAGACCAGGCTGGAAATAGCTGGAAATTAGCCTGGAAATGGCCAAAACCCCTTTAAAACCAGGCTGGACAACCAGCCAACCAGCCTATGCTGGTTTAAGTTGTTTTTTTTCAGCAGGGTTCATAAAACAAATGCATAAATGGGAATTATGTAATG